TAGTATAGTATAATGTCTCCCTTGCCGGGATGTTGTTGCTTTCAATGATATCTCCCTTGCTGAGATGTTGATGTTTTTTATATTGTTTTCCCTTGCCAGGATTTGATTGTTGTACTATTGTTCCCAGGTCGGAATTTTATTGTGATTTTATTTATTTTCTTGTCCCTATTTTTTGTGATTGTTGTTTGGGTGATGAAGAGTGTTAAAGCACGAAGGGTGATGTCATGCATTGTTTTGGTGAGAGATTATTAAAGCACGAAGGGTGATATCGCGTATGATTTTGTGAGGTAAAGTGTAAAAGCACGAAGAATAATGACGTACCGCTACTCCCGAGGGTAAAAATTCCGGCTCGTGACACTACTAGACGCCTCAACTATAACTATTTGACCCTCCAACTATTGAAATCNATATATATATATATATATATATATATACCATGCTAAAAGTGGATAGATCTTAATTCAAAAGTTGAATTATAAAAATATCCTTCAAAATTAACTTATCGTTTTGCACTTCATCATCATACCCCTACTTCTAGAATAAGAATTAATTTTTTGTTGTTATTTTGCCCTCATCAAAATAAAACATATACTCAATGTTAATTACTAATTATGGCCTCTTTGTCAATAAAAAAAATTTCCTTTTTTTAAAAATAATTTTTTTTTAAAAAATTATAAGTAATTTTTATGTCCAAACGCCTACTTAATATACATTAAAGCAAAATAAATCAATATATTAACCAACATGACTCTTCATTGCTGTAAATTTTTTTGAAGAATTTGAGAATTTGCTCGGAGTAATTCAATAACTAACTTCATTTGACTACTTTAATACAAAGACCTAATTCATCTATCAAATGCAAGTTATACCATATTTTCGTTTATCATTCAAAAACCACACTATATATGTTGTTGCAGGAACCCCTAAATTGAAATGATAAATTACATAAATTCCAACCTTAAACACTTAGTAAGATAAGGCATCAAATTTATTTGAAAAGGTGTAACCCTACGGATTTTAACTCAAAGGTAACGGATCTCAAGCCATGGTAAGCATGTCCTAGATTAATGTAATTAATTTAAATTATAGCTCGTGAAAAGATCAGAATGGATTTATTTCATAATAATAAACTTAGGAGTAATCAATTTTGGCGTTCAAATTTTGAGTTGTGTTCTCATTTTACTACGTGAGCTTCTGTTCACTTGATTATTATGCTCAATTTCCACACTAACAAATATGTATGTCTTCTGTCCCTTTTTTTTTTCTTTTCTTTTTCACATAGTTAACTGGAATAGAAGAATTTAATTGTGATTAATAGCCTATTTGGCGAAGTTGCAAAATCAGTTTATAATTTTTCAAAATTTTGTTATACATATAGGGTAGGGAAAGAAAAACGGGAAAGGAAATTACAAGGTGGATTATACATATAGGGTGGGGAAATCAGGAAATGAAATATGGTACTAATAATAGAGTTAATCACCTTTATCATCAGTCTGCCCATAGGTTGTAATGTAATCTTTTTTTTATTATTGAAAATGACGAGCAGTTATACATTCAAAATAATTAGTGAAATCATGCAAGTATGCAATCATAACATTTATATCCTATCACTGTGTAATCCCTACTTCCCGTGATGTTGATTCTATGATTAACCAACTGAAGATTTTTTTTTTTTTTTTTTTTTTAAAGAGAAAGGCACTGAAGATTCCAAGGTTGAATTTATTTGCATCAACTTTTCATCTCCCCGGCTCTGCGTTTAATGTAAACCTTTTGGCTTTACAGTTACCTTGTTATAATGTTTCAGGAATGGAACTCTTCATCTACTCTATTCACTAATTGAAGTATATATATATATTTCACCCAATGTTTTAAAAGGCGGGGACGTGAAGTAAGGCATTTTACCTCTGACGAGGCGAGGCGTAAAACCTGAGACATGAGGCGTAAGTACCACAAATCTTTCAATTTTACTAATTTCAAAAATTTTAAGATAGTATAAAATAAAAAATAATTATAAAAATTACATTAAAATCATAAAATTATAAAAAATAATCTATTTAAAATATTTATAAATTATAATTCAATTATGAATAATACGAAAAGTATGACATATTTCATAATATGCAAATTAGCTGCAACATCGTTACAACTCAAATATCAAAAGTAATGTATTTGATACGAAATATTATATGTATCTCTTAAGGAGTAATGAATCTTGAAAGAATTTCGATATTATAATTTGATTATTTTTTAAAAACTCCTTTTATTTAATATGTTTTCTATTTGAAAGAGAATTTACATAAAAACATAATTCATAATTTAAATATGATTTTCTAGCATCATTTATTTTTAAGTTTCAACAAGTTAATAAACAAGGCGGATTTACATGCTGATTTTGGGTGCTCAAGCACCCATTATCTTTGACAAGATTTAGTAAATATGTATAGGTAATTATAAAAATATTTAGATAAATATTGATTGAGCATCCATAACTAAACTCTTTTTTCCTCTTCTTTCAAAATTTTTATCAGTGAGCACCCACGACCAGGGGCGGATGCAGCGTATAACCTACGGGTTCAACTGAACCCATAACTTTCGACGCGGAGTAAAAAAATTTGTATGTAAAAATTCATTAAAATTACAAAAATAGTAGATATGAACCCATAAATTTAAAAATACAATGGGTTCAATGTTAAAAGCCCTTAAAATTGAACCCATAAGATTTAAATTCTGAATCCGCCTCTGCCCACGACTTTAAAATCCTGGATCCGCCACTGTTAATAAAGTGACACATGCAAAGTGTAATCATGCAAGCATGCTATGATAGCAATTGTATCCTATGATCACTTAATATAAAACTTTGTAATCCCTACTTTACCTGATGTTAATATTATGATTAACCAACTAATCTTTTCTTTTTTCCTTTGAAGGCTGAATTTATTTGTATTAACTTTTCACCTCCCCGGCTCTACCTTTAATGTAAACCTTTTGGCTTTACTGTTATCCTGTGTGTGTATTTATATACAGGTTTTTTCACCCAGTGTCTTGTCACTACGGAGAAATAAGGAGAGACCAAAAAACAGCCGATCACCAAATGGTACCAATATTTCTCTTTCTTTTGCTCTATAATCTATGCCTTTACTGTATTATTTGATATATATTTAGTTATGTTTTATGAAGGAATATCAAGTACGGTACGATCATGCGGGCTTATGAAGAAGCTCACAGAGATTCTGATCGATATTGAAGCAGAGCAAACACAAATGAGGGAAGAACAATGCATGCAGAGTTTTGGAGAGAATTTTCTGTTCATTATCAATGGAACAGTAGTACAAATGAGCTAATTACACATATATATACAATGCTAGTTGGTGCCAGTTGTCTAACTAACCTCCACTACTTCCACTACTAACATAATTAATCAATAACTAATTACACTGCACTAACTAACATAGCTAAGACAGATTAGATCGTTAGTGCACAGTTAGGCAGTTAGTTAATTCCTTCACACCCCCTTCAAGCTAGGAGATATGAAGATGTTCTTCATGCCTAGCTTGGATAGAAAATAATAATGCTGAGTGATACCCAAGCCCTTAATAAGAATATCTGCCTGTTGCTCTGAAGAGGGGAGATATATTAGATGAACGATCCCAAGTTGCACCTTCTCGCGAATGAAATGACAGTCGATATCAATATATTTTGTGCGCTCATGAAACACAGGATTAGCAGCAATTTGAATTGCTGACTTACTGTCACAGAGCAAAGAAATTAGTTGTTGAAATGCACTCCTAATTCCTCAAACAAACCAGTCGCCCACACTATTTCTGCAACTATTAATGCCAAGCTTCGATACTCTGCCTCAACTGAGCTTTTGGATATAGTAGTTTATTTCTTCGACTTCCATGAGATCAAAGAGCTCTCAAACTTAATCAAATACCCAATAATGGATCTCCTAGTGTTTGGGCAAGATGCCCAATCTGCATCACAATACGCTGTAAGCTGAGATGAAGCATCTGCAGACATTAATATCCCTAAGCTTGGAGACTGCTTGACATACTTAATCACCTTGATGGAAGCCTCCATATGTGATGTTTTAGGACAATGCATGAACTGACACAAGCACTGCACTACAAATGCAATATCTGATCTAGTCATGATTAGATAGAGAAGTCTCCCAACCAACCTTTGATAAGCACTAGGATCATCAAGAACTTTGTCATCTTCAATCCCAAACTGAGTGTCGAACTCCAACGTTGTAAGCTTCTTGTTCACCTCCAAAGGTGCCTTGACTGGCTTTGCACCTGAGAGTACCATGTCTGATATGAGTTCTAATGCATATTTTCTTTGATGCATCAGAATTCCCTCTTTGCTTCTAGCAAATTCAATTCCTAAGAAAAACTTTAGCTCCCCCAAGTCCTTGATTTTAAAGACTTGTTGTAAGTACTCTTTAGTCTACTGTATTAAGATGGCATCATCTCCTGTGATTAAAAGGTCATCAACATAAACTAAGACCACCACTATTTTCCTTTGAACTTTTCTGGTGAATAAGGAATAATCTAAATGACTCTGACAGAACCCAGAAGCTATCAATGCAGATGTTAGCTTGATGTTCCATTGTCGAGAAGCTTGCTTGAGCCCATACAGTGATTTGAGTAGTTGACAAACTTGATGTTGTACTTCGCAAACAAATCCTTGAGGCAACTCCATATAAACTTCTTCAGTTAAATCACCTTGCAAAAAAGCATTGTAGACATCCATTTGTTGAATCTCCTAGTTATTCATTGCTGCTAGCGAAACAACAGTCCTCACTGTTACCATCTTGACAATAGGTGAGAATGTTTCTTGATAATCCAATCCCTCTCTTGGCTATACCCTTTTGCGACTAACCTTACCTTAAACCTTTCCACTTCACCTGTAGCTTTATATTTAATCTTGTATACCCATCAACAACCAATGGCCCTATTTCCTGGTGGCAAAGACATCACTGTCCATGTATTGTTGTCTTACAATGCCTTGATCTCATTCTGCATTGCTTCTATCCATCTGTCATCCTTGATTGCTTCTGCATAATTCTTGGGCTCAATTTCTTCAGAGAATTTGGTGATGAAGCTTTGATACTTGGAGGACAAGGAGTCATAACTAATAACATCTGAGATTGGGTATAAACAAGCATGTACTCCTGACTGTTTATCAGTCCTCACATAGTCTTTAAGCCAAATAGGTGGCTTAGTTATTCTCCCTGATCTTCTTTCAGGCAATGTTGTTGTTTGATGTTCTTCTGCTGCTCCTGTGTCTCCAACTGAGTCTGGCACATCTTTATATGGGGCATGAAAATCATGGTTCTCTTGATCAATATTTGCTGATGCACCTTGAATTTGTTTTGAAGTAGAATCTGCAGCATTATGATTATGCAGAATGTTTCTACTTGCAATATCTAACTCATCCACCACACAAAACTTTTTCAAGCTTGTAATATCAGGACTTTGAAAGTTTTGCTTTTCATGAGTATCCTGGAAAGGGAATATGCTCTCATGAAATACAACATCTCTACTAATAAAACACGTTTTGTTAGACATATTAAATAGTTTGTATCCTTTCTGATAAACTCCATATCCTAGTAACACTGATTTCACTGCTCGTGGACCAAACTTGTCCTGTTTAGGCAAAATAATTGCATAACAAAGGCAGCCTATCACCCTCATGTGAGCCAAAGAAGGTGTACTGTCGTACAATGCTTCAAAAGGCGATCTACCTTTCAAAATAGTAGATGGTACCCTGTTTATTATATATGTTGTTGCCTCAACACATGTGCCCCGGAATCGAATTGGCAAATTAGACTGGAATTTGATTGCTCTTGTTGTTTCTAAGATGTGCCTATGTTTCCTTTCCACCACTCCATTCTGCTGAGGAGTGTAAGGACAAGAATTCTGATGCAAAATTTTGTGACATGTAAACAATTCCTTATAAATTATGTTAAAAAAACTTAGATCTATTGTCTGACCTGAAAATTTTAATCGTCTTTCCAAATTGGTTAAGGATCATTGCAATAAATGTTTTGAGCAACTCAGATACATCAGATTTAACTCTCATTAAGAAAATCCATGTCCACCTCGTATGATCATCTACCAATATCAAAAAGTAATTCATTCCATTATAGGTTGGGACCTTATAATGGCCCCATGCATCCATGTGTATCAAATTAAAAGGTTCATCTGCTCTATTAATACTAACAGAGAATGGCAATCTTGTTTGTCTAGACAATTGACACACATCACAATGATGTAGAGGAAAAGCATCTTTATTTCTAAAACTAGAAATCTTTCTAATAACTGCCATGGGCACATGGCCTAATCTCTTATGCCAAATCTCAGGTTCTTCCATCTGTTCCACTGTCATAGCCTTTTCTCTATTTATTCTAGCTTCCTTATGGTGTGTCCTTAGAATGTACAAATCATCTTCCCTACTACCAGTCGCCTTTACTTTCCCAGTGCAAAGATCCTGAAATATGAAGTGTTCAGGAAAAAAACATTGCACAACATTTCAGTTCCTTGGTCAATTTAGACATTGACAATAGATTGAACTTAAACCTTGGTACACAAAGTACATCCTTAAGGGTATCACCTCCTCCCAAATGACTGTTTCCTATCTTGGTCACTTTAGCAAACTCTCCCGTGGGCATTTTTCCAGCACTTCCTACTTTACCATCATCCAACAAAAAACTTTCATTTCCTGTCATATGATTCGTAGCTCCTGTGTCCACTATCCAATATATTGCATTATCTTTAATAAGAAAATACTTACCTGCTAAGTTTGCACTTGTTTCAAATGTGGAAGCCTTGCTAAGCATGTTGAGCAGCATATTGTATTGTTCCTGTGTGATCATTAGAGCAACAATGTTAGTAGAATTGATGTTTCCTTGATTGGTTGCATTAGTCTCAGGCTACATAGAATGACCACCTACCACATTAGCTCTGGCCTTGGACTTAAAGCCTGCAGGATATCCAATTAGCTTGTTGCAGTTTTCCTTAAGATGACCCTTCTTGTTGCAGTAGCCACAATGCATCAGCTTGAAATATCCATCTCTTGTGTGACCCTTTCCATGACAATAGTCATATTCCATACCCCAACTTCTCTTCTGTTTAGGCATATTATTTCTGGCTGTGAATAATGCAGCTAATTCCATTGTTTCAGTTGTGACATAGTTACTTCCTGCCACAAGTTTTTGGCTCTCATCTTGAACAATCAAGGCATACACTTGATTCACATTAATCACTTTAGATTTCATTAAGATTTGACTCCTTGCCTGACTATAACCTTCATTCAGTCCCATTAAAAACTGTAATAGACGTTGATACTATAAATGCACTGCAAAATCTTTTGATTTATCACAATCACATGAAGGAGGTGGCATCATTGAGTCATATTCATCCCATAAATCATTCAACCTCGAATAGTACACTGACACAGATGATGTTCCTTGTGTTAAGGTAAATATCTCCTTGTGAAGAGAATACAAACATGATCCATTCACCTTATTGAACCTCTCCTGCAATTCCTTCCAAACTAGGAGTGCATTAGAACAAAACAGAGTTCCACTTAGCAATTCTTTGCTCACGTTTCCAGTAATCCATTAGACTACTATCGCATTACACCTATCCCACTGATGTCCTAAAGTTGGTCCAAAAATATCCCTAGTGATTGTGCCATCAATAAAACCTAGCTTATTTCTTCCTAGAAGTGCAACTCTCATTGCTCGATCTCACAAAGTATAGTTTTCCATTCCTATAAGCTGAATACCAACTCATAAGGACCCAGGGGCATTAGAAGGATGAAGATACAAGGGATGATTGTGATCAATCACCACCGGAGCTGGAACAAAGGTTCCTGAATCGGATCCATCCTCAATCGCCATGATTATACAGTAACAAATTCAGTTAATTACAGATGAAGAGAAGAATTTCCAATCAAAACAGAAATCAGAAACAAAATTTATCAATTAAATCTAGGGCTTGTTACAACTCAGATCAGAAATCGTTTTCTTACAGAATTGTCAATAAATCTCTTGATCATCTTCAATCCGCGAAGAACAATCCTTAGATCTAGCTGATGAAACCTCGCTCTGATACCATGAAGAAACTCACAAAGATTCTGATCGATATTGAAGCAGAGCAAACACAAATGAGGGAAGAAGAACGCATGTNATATATATATACAATGCTAGTTGGTGTCAACTGTCTATATACTACTAAAAAATCAGGTTTTAGCGATGGACAAATTCTGTAGCTAAACAGAAAAATATGTCGCTAATCTCATTTAGAGACGGATTAGCGACCGATTATCAAAAGATTCTACTAGCTAAGAGCATTTTATCAACAGATTAGCGATGCCGTTCGTAGCTAATTCCAATTTTTTATAGTGTCGAACTACTTCCACTACTTGAACTACCAACATAATTAACCAATAACTAATTACACTGCACTAACTAACATAGCTAAGATAGATTAGATCGTTAATGCACAGTTAGGCAGTTAGTTAATTGCTTAGTAAAGGTGGAACCATGGGGAGCAACCAGTGGTTCGCAGTGCTAAGTACACCGCGCCAGGTGGTTAAAATTGTAGTAGTTAACATATATTTTCTCATTATTTTCTCTAGTGAATTTTATTTCATGTCAAAGTAATACAATGTGTTTGTAGAATCAGGGGTGTGCGCAAATTCTTTTATAAATGGTGTCGTATTTATATATATAAAAAAACAATAAGTTAATATCATTTTACAACAAGTTGAAAGCCTTGGTCCAATGGTTTAGTTGAATATTTGGTGGTGTAGGTTTGATTCTCCTTAGCCTCAAATTTTTACAAAAATGCTCACCTTTACAAGGCCAAATATGAGCTTGACCAGTGAACCAGTACCCTTTGTCAAGAAGCGGTGTCATTATTATATATTGCTTTATTTTTGCAGAATGTTAGTATAAATATTTAATAATCTTTTCCGACGAAGTGGTATCGGATGGCACCGCTTCAACCAATGTGTTGGGTCTATCCCATAAATCAAGGAAGAAAATGTTTGTGGGATCCATCCCATAAATCAAGGAAGAAAATTTTCTTCCTTGATTAGCAGCCCATGTTTCCCTTCTGCATTTGTCAAATATGGCAGGCGTGCAGAAGAAAATGTCAAGCGTAGTAGGCGAGGTTCTACCTATAAAAGAAGAGCTTTGGCTCTCATTTTTGACACACAAATCTCAGAGGAAAAATAAATCTGAGAGTTAGAAAGAAAGAGTGAGGTTTCACAGACAGGGTATAAGAAAATAGTTTATGAAAAAATAGAGAGTGAGTGATATTGTAGTGAGGTGAGAATATCAAAAGAGGGTTATTTATTTTGAGTGTTGTAGTGGTCTTTTGAATATTTTACTCGGACCTACAAAGTATAAAATTACTTGCTATCGTGATATCAGTTGCTCTTCTCGGGGCCGTGGTTTTTTCCCTTATTCAAAAGAGTTTTCCACGTAACAATCTTGGTGTAGTTGTTACTTTTTTATTCTTGTTAATTACCGTATCTCGGTGCTACATTATTATTCCGCTTTTATTACCGTGAATATTATTTTTATGGAGGGTTTATTCCCAACAACTGGTATCAGAGCACAGGTTCTGCTCGTTCACTGAAATACTATTCACTGTCGGTAGTACTATACTCGGTGAAAAATAAAAATGTCCGTAGTAAAGTACGAGGTAGCAAAATTCAACGGAGATAACGATTTCTCAACATGGCAAAGAAGGATGAGGGATCTCCTCATCCAACAAGGATTACACAAGGTACTAGATGCTGATGCCAAAAAAACTGATACCATTAAAGCTGAGGATTGAGCTGACTTGGATGAAAGAGTTGCTAGTGCAATTAGGTTGCACTTATCAGATGATGTGGTAAATAACATCATTGATGAAGACACTGCACATGGAATTTGGACACGGTTGGAAAGCCTATATATGTCCAAAACGTTGACAAATAAATTGTACCTGAAGAAGCAGTTATACGCCATACACATGGGTGAAGGTACGAATTTTTTGTCACCTTTAAATGTATTTAACGGACTAATCACACAGCTTGCCAACCTCAGAGTGAAAATCGAGGAAGAAGATAAAGCCATCTTGCTATTAAACTCGTTGCCATCTTCGTACGATAATTTGGCAACAACCATCCTGCATGGTAAGACTGCTATTGAGTTGAAAGATGTCACATCGGCTCTTCTACTCAATGAGAAGATGAGAAAGAAGCCTAAAAATCAAGGACAAACTCTTATCACAGAAGGTAGAGGCAGGAGTTATCAAAGGAGTTCGAGCAACTATGGTAGATCCGGAACTCGTAGGAAGTCAAAGAACCGATCCAAATCAAGAGCCAGAAATTGCTACAACTGTGATCAACCAGGTCACTTCAAAAGAGATTGCCCAAATCCAAAGAAGGGCAAAGGTGAAACCAGTGGCCAGAAGAATGACGACAATACAGCCGCCATGGTGCAAAACAATGATAATGTTGTCCTCTTTATAAATGAGGAAGAGGAATGCACGCACTATAGGTGTTAAACGGGCCGGGTCAGCCCGGTTCCGGACCGGCCCAGACCGGTTAAAACTGAAACCGACCCGGACCGGTATAAAGGGGCTGGGTTGGGCTGGGTTAAGGGGGACATGCAGGTTGCAACATTCATATTTGAAATACCGGTTACTCGGACAGGTACAACCCGGTAGATGAACAGTGATATCAAACCGGTTAATCGGCCCGGCCTGGACCGGCCCAGACCGGTTTAACGGTAAATTTATTTTTAAAATATGGGCCCAAATCTGAACGTTGGCAACGGTCCATTTCAGAAAATGGTCGTTGCCCAACGGTTGAATTGCACAATTATCCCAATTTTGTTTTTTTTAAATTAACCCCCTTTCAAAAACTATAAATACCCATCTCCTCATTTTTTCACTCGTCTCTCAATTCTCAATCTCAATTCTCATATTCTCTCATTCTTCAATCTTTATTCTTCACCTATTAAAGTGCAATCAACTATTTGGCTATTTTTTTTGGAGTTTAGTTTATCATAGTATTTATTTTTTGAAGTTTGAACAATCGAACTTCAAAATTGGAACAATTGACATTTCTTCGTGGTTACATTGGAGTTGCAAAATTATCAAGTGCTCAATTTATTGCGGAATTCGATGCACTCCCTCCAACTCTTTCTCTTATTTACTATTTTATTTGCATATTTATTTGTTTTGTTGCTAATAGTTAAATTTTTACAATATGTTTAATGCTGCATAAAGAGTTTGTAACAAGGTTACTAATCGGGGAAATAAAAAAAGAGGTAGTACTTCAGCTTCAGCATTTGGTAGTAATTTAAATACCTCTCTAAATATTCCTGAAACATTACCTGATAATAATATAGATTATGTACAATTAAAGGAAGATTTTGGTATAGATGATAATGAATTAGAAATGGAAAATGAGATACCACTTATACCTAGTAGTATTGGAGCTGCTAGCAGGGATGGTGGTCTGGTGCTAGTAGTAGACCACATGTGGCCCCGACTAGTAATTATAAAAAAAGAAGTAAGGTTTGGAAATTTTTTGAGGAAATAGAAGGTACTGATAGAGTTAAATGCAAATTTTGTAACGATACTTTTAAACATAAGACTGGGGGGACAATTAGGGGGGACTGGGACACTTAGTAGACATATGAGAATTGAGCATCCTATAGAATGGGGATCTGATGGAGATAGAAATCAATCAACTCTAAACCCTACTACTGGAGGTCTTGTGAAATATGATAAAATGAAGGATCGTGAGGAGTTAGCAAAAATGATTGCTTTGGGTTGTCTACCTTTTTCTTTTGCTTCTTCATCATATCTTATTATGTATATTCAAAGGATTACAATCCTTTATTTAAAGGTATCCCTAGAAGTACTTATAGATCTGATATCTTTAGACTTCATGGACAATATCAAACATACATACATTATTTGTTTAGCCACCTTCCTTGTAGATTTTCTCTAACTTCTGATATTGGTCATGCTGTTAATAGAAATGATTATTTGATAATTACATGTAATCGATGTCACGCCCCAAACTAGGGGAGGCACGACTGGCACTCGATACTGTATTCGATCGAGTTAGCCACTAAACATACTAGCTAACTAAACCGGGGGCCCAACAGATCGGGTAGCACAACATCTAAAATACTAAGCCTGGACCATTAAGGTCATGACCTGCATAACAATAAGCCATATAAACAAAGGTAGACAAGCCTAAATAAGAAAGTACTAGCTGGCCGACGAGGCCGCGATTGGAGATATACATACCTACACACATATATATACATGCCAAACCTATAGGCTGGAGACTGAAAGCTACAAAAAGAAACCCAGAATACTGTGTCCACAATAACCTCTAAGAATGTCATAAGCGCTGTCGGAACAAGGCCCCGACTGTACCCAAACTGTACACAAACGTAACCATCCTATGAAAGCTCCAGGAAGAGGTGGAGCTTACCAACTCACAGCTAAACCCCGAAATCCTAGCGGAGGGGTCTATCAGAGTCCCTACCTGGACCTGCACGCACGAAACAAAAATGTAGTGTCCCCAGGCAACGGGACATCAGTACAAATAAAAATGTATTGGTATGTAAGGCAGAAAGTAGAATCATACATAGCTGATGTAAAAAAAAATAGTGAAACCACCTGACACTGAAACTCTTATAGCCTCCATGACCGATATCCGACCTCATAGTAATCAATTATGCATGGTATGCTTATGTAAGCGTATGTCATGAATACATATATATTGATGCAAATACATGACATACCCAACCAAATGCTAGCAATGGCGGTCTCTCCCGGTAGCTAACTGGTATCATATTGCCAACCTGTGGCCACCTGT